CTATTGATTTTGGAATTACGCTAATTCTACCTGTCGACTTTGGGTTTGTTAGCCTCAGCAGCCTGTAGCTGCCAGAGTTAGGAGACAGCTCCAGTTCCCCGGGGCCTGGAACAAGTGACAGGCCTTCACCTAGCCCCTAGAGCCAGCATTCTGAATTCTAACTTCCAGCCTCTTAAACTGTAAGAGGATAAATTCCTGTTCAGTAAAGCTATTACAGCAGCACCAGAGAAGTGGTGTAGTGCCTAAGGTATTTGACTGCTAACCAGAAGGCTGGCAGTTCAAACCCACCAGCCACTCCTCTGAAGGAAGTTTGGACAATGGACTTCCATAGTGATACTGCCTCGAAAACCCAAGGAAGGGTCGCTATGAGTAGGATTCAACTCAACAGCAGTGAGTTTCAGTGAAGCAGAAGGCTGACGGTTCAAACCCACCAGCCACTCCTCAGAAGGAAGACCGGGCAACCTACTTCTGTAGTGGCACTGCCTTGGAAACCCAAGGAGGCGTAGCTATGAGTTGGATCTGACTCGACAGCAGTGAGTTTGGTTTTGTAGAGAAGTAAGACACTGGCTATGTCCCTTTATTTGGAAGTTTAAATAGGATATAAAATTTAATTCATGGGAGTTGGTCCCACTGAAGACAGGGTCAGGAGTTTATGACTTATTTTGTGTGTGACAGACTCTGGATTATCTGGGAAAATCTATAGATACCTTAATGTCATGTTTTTAAATACTTAACATATATTGAATAGGAAAGGTAGCAACATTGGGAAATTGTTCTTATTTTTAGTTGTTGTTGTTAGCTCCCTGATTCATGAAGACCCCATGCACAATGGTGTGGGACCTTTGTAATCTGTAGTATTTTCATTTGCTAATTTTTGGAAATAGATCACCAGGCCTTTCTTTCACTGACACCTATTTGCCATGATAGCAGACAGATGGGTGGTAGCTGTGCAGTGTGCATTGGCCCAGAATAAAACTCAGATTTCCTATATGGGAGGTAAGAATTCTACCACTGAACCACCACTGTCCCCAAAATTATTAAAATGTGTTTTTTAAAAAAAGTAAGTATGAATATGTGGTATAGTAAATTAGCTGGTATGGCTTTTCTAGCCATAAGTCTTTGTAAACTCCATGGTGGAATTTGCCATGAGCAACTGAGTAGCTCATGATTGTTAAAGTTATCTACCTGGGGTATTTCTGTTGAGAAGTGGCATGAAGTAATTTTCTGGGATGTTCTCTCTCTCAGGTGTATAGAGTTGTGATGTTGGGGTTGGTTAGTTTGGCCACTGTGATAGTTAGAGCTGTGTGTCAACTTGACTGGACCACAATTCTGTGTGGTTTAAGCTGTTGTGATGTGGTTATTCCCACGGTGGGATCAGATGATTATGCTTTGAGCAGGCAATCTGTTGAAGGGGAGTTTTCCCTAGAGGTATGGACTGCTTCCAGTATATCTATGGACATTCCAGGAAAACAGACATTCTTCAGCGGATCAGGATTCTGTTAGCAGTCACATACCTTAACCACTACAACTGTCTGTGAGTGAACAATCCACCATTCGGCCTGGAGATCTTGGATTCGTCATTCGTTGCAGTCAACAGCCAGTGTACTGCCTGCCAACCTTGAGCTCCTCAGCCCCTGCAGCTGCAAGAGTCAGGAAAAGCCTCCAGCTTGATGTTTGATCCAGGAACTTTGGTCTTGCCAACTTCTATAAGTGTGTGAGCCATTTTCCTAAGATAAATTTCTCTCTGTATACATATATATATATAAGCTTTATTGGTTTTGTTTCTCTAGAGAACCCAGTCTAACACAGCCACTCTGCTAGGCTCAAAAGGAGCCCTTCTAGAGGCAGGAGGAGTCTCTCTGACTGCTGGCAGAGAAAGATGTGCTGCTGAGAGAAATGCGCTCCTGAGAGACACACACTTGCTGAGAGAGAGACGCGAGAGACATGCGCTGCTAAGAGAGACAAACATTGCTAAGAGAGACACCGAGAGACATGCACTGCTGGAGAAAGACTATTAGCTGAGAGACAGGGCTGAGAGAGACTGAACATGTTCCTGAGCTTGAATTGTAGCCCGTTGCTTCCCTAATAAACCTCATAAGTTGTGAGTTCTGTGTGGCCACTGCAGCAAATTATTGAACCCCACAGAGAGGTAGTGAGCACTAAAGGAGGAATGGTTGGTGTCACAGTTGGTGAAAGGGCTGGAGGGAGGCAGCATGTCTGGCCTTACAGGAATAGGTCTTGGGCTGCTGATGGTGATTCTGTCTTCCTTTGGTGGGGTTAGAGGAAGTCAGAATATGCAGCCTCCCTGCAACTATGGTAGTATAATAATATATGTATTTGTTCAAAAAAAAAAAAAAAAAACCAAACTCATGGCCATCGAGTTGATTCCAACTCACGGTGACCCCCCATTGGGTTTCCAAGGTGGTAAATGTTTACAGAAGTAGATTGCCCAGTCTTCCTTCCACAGAGTGGCTGGTGAGTTTGAACCACCAACCTTCTGTCAAATGCTGTCAAATGCCTTAGGCACTACACCACCAGAGCTCCTTATGTATTTGTATTTGTTCAGTAACACATTAAATAAAAAAGTCTAGACGGGATCAGTCCCTGGAGAAGGATATCATGCTTGGTAAAGTAGAAGGTCAGAGGGAAACAGGAAGGCCCTCAACAAGGTGGACTCACACAGTGGCTACAACGATGGACTCAAGCATAACAAGAATTTTGAGGATGGCACAGCATCAGGTAGTATTTCGTTCTGTTGTGTATAGGGTTGCTATGAGTCATAATTGACTCAATGGTACTTAACAGCAACAAGTAGCAGATGTAGTAACTGATGTCAATTTGAAGGACTCACAATTAATGTAATCTGTATTTCCAGACATCTGCAATAATTGCAGCCCGTTGCAAGTGCATTCTGACTCTTAGTAACCCTTAAAAAAAAAAAAAAACTCACTGCTATTGACTCTATTCCGACTCGTAGCGACCCCCTTTGGGTTTCTGAGGCAGTAGAGCTCTACAAATATAAATTGCCCAGTCTTCCTTCTGCAGAGTGGCTGTTGGGTTTGAACTGCCAATGTTCTGGTTAGTAGTCAAATGTCTTAGGCATTACACCACCAGAATTCCCAATGTTGGGATAACCCACTTAATTTTACTGACAAAACCTGAAAGAATCAGTTCTACAGCCCTTTATAAAACCAAATCCAAGCTCAATGCCATCCAGTCGATTCTGACTCATAACGACCCCCATTGGGTTTCCATGGCTGTAAATCTTTATAGAAGCAGACTGCTTCATCTGTCTTCTGTGGAGCAGCTGGTGGGTTCGAACCACCAACCTTTATGGTTAGCAGTCACATACCTTAACCACTACACCATCAGCATTTCTACAGGCCTTTATGGGAACTGTAAATCCAAATGGGTAGAAATTACAATTTTATTTTCACAAACTCTAAATACAAGTTAGCATTTCTTTCAATTACAAGTGTAGGTTACTAATTACAGTGGATTTAACAGGGTTTTTTGGACTATTTCACCAGTACAAATCACAGATATTTTGCACTTATTAAGGAGCTGTGGTGTCACAGTGGTTGAGTGCTCTTAACCTACCAGCCACTCCTCAGAAGAAAAGCTGGGCAATCTACTGCCATAGTGATATGCCTCAGAAACCCAAGGAGGGGTCCCTATGTGTTGGATCTGACTCGATGGCAATGGGTATCTCGACATTTAAAACAAAAACAAAACAATACAACAGCAACAAAAAACACCTCAGCCCTAGGAATGAGGTCTGAAATGGATATGGTGGAACATCCAGGTCAACCCATCTTCCAACAGTCCATTTTGTTGCCCTGGGAACTAACCCCATCTTCAGATCACTCACCAATCATACAGTACTTCTAAAGGTTTGAGTTTCTTTTGTTTTCCTTCCCTCTTCCTTGCCTTGAAAATCCTGGACAGCCTCTAGGCCATCTCAACAATCTATGGAGTAGGAATCTGGGGAAAAGAGGGCTACAATTAATTACATCAAATTACCATAGGCACCTTTTAACACTATCACTTAGCACCAGGTGGTAATGATTATGCTAATTAAGGAAGAATCACAATAGCCCTCCAAAGAGTTTGCCATTGATGTGCTGGGTAGAAGGAAGGGGATACAGGCCTTTCTGCAGCTTCACAGCTTGTAAGAACTCTAATATCTAAACCTCTGATTGGTGTAGTATTTCCTCTCAGGAGCCATGCAACTAAGTCAAGAGGCACGTTGTAATTGGCTAACTCTCAACAGCCGCAAGCCAATGGGAAAGCAGATATTACGAACCAGCCAGAGACTTAAGCCTTTCGCTTGTTTTGGCTTGTAAAATTGAACAAATGTTCTGGTCCAACATGTCTGCGCCAGGTTAACAAGGAGGCAAAGTTCGTGCCACTATCAGATTCGCTCTTCTGGCGCGGGCCTACAGTTCTCGATGAATCGAGTGCACCGCCTCCTCGGACAGGGAAACTACTCTGAGCGGGTGAGGGGTTGGCTCTCCAGTGTACCAAGTGGCGGTGCTGGAGTGCCTGACCGCTGGAGATCCTGGAGCAGGCGGGCAACGCGGCCCGCGACAAGACGCGGATCATCCCGCGCCACCTGCAGTTGGCCGTCCACAGCGATGAGAAACTCAACTGTTGGGCCGCGTGACCAGCGCTCAGGCTGGTGTCCTACCAAGATCAAGCCGTGCTGCTGCCTAAAACTCAAGAACCACAAGGCAAAGTGAAAGTTAATGGTGTAATTGGTGTTATTACTTTACCCCCAAAAACTAACCAAAGTAAAAAGGCCACAATTCTCGGTAGACAATCGAGTACGGGCAAAAACTTTTCAAAGTTAAGAAATAAAAGAACTCAGGATTCAGAACTTTTAATGGTGTGTGATAGTCACTAACAGTAGCACAATCGCTCAGCTCTTTTGATTGAAATTTGTGGGTGGCTCTGAAAAGAGCCTTTGAGGTTTAAAGCAGGAGGACCCTCCATGCTTTTTACTTCTTCTTGGGCGCTGCCTTCTTTGCCTTTGTTGCTTTCGGTTTGGAAGCTTTCGGCTTGGCTGACTTAGGCTTAGGGGCCTTTGCCTTAGCTGGGCTCTTGGTAGCTTTCTTGGCCTTGGGTGTTTTCACCTTCTTAGGACTCTTGGCCACTTTCTTGGTTCTAGCAGCTGCTGGCTTCTTGGCCTTCTTCGGGGTCTTTTTGGCGCTTTTCTTCGGGGTGGCTGCCCCTGTCGCCTTCTTAGGCTTCTTGGCATCTCCAGAAGCCTTCTTGGGCTTGCCTGCCCCAGCTTTTTTGGCCTTGGGCTTGGCTTCCCCAGAGGCCGCCTTCTTGTTCAGTTTGAAAGAGCCCGAAGCGCCTGTGCCCTTGGTCTGCACCAGGGTACCCTTGCTCACCAGGCTCTTCAGGCCCAACTTAATGCGGCTGTTGTTCTTCTCCACATCGTAGCCAGCGGCAGCCAGAGCTTTCTTAAGCGCGGCCAAGGACACGCCGCTGCGCTCCTTGGACGCAGCCACCGCCTTGGTGATGAGCTCGGACACTGGGGGGCCGGACGCTTTACGTTTTCCAGCAGCTGCACCAGTTTTCTTTGCCTTCTTTTTCACAGGTGTCTTTTCCGCAGGTACGGGAGTAGCAGGAGCAACTGGAGCAGTCTCCGACATGTTTCTGTTTTGCCAGTAATGCAAAAAACTAAAGTCAAAACTGTCAGAACGGCGTATTCCCGGAGCCAGAGGCTGGGGGTTTATATAGAGAGAAGCTGTGTGATGATTGGTTCCTTGCTCAGCGCGCCGCGCTGCTGGAGCAGGGCTCCTCGGCTCTGCTGCATGGCTGTGTTTCTTGTCTCTTAAAAAAGAAGAAAAATATTAAAAATCTGGGCACGAAGTTATTGAGTATTTGGGAAAAACTGATGCGAGAGGTCTCAGGCTTCATTTACACCTTTTTTGCTATACCTAGGTTCAAAACTGGCAACCTGAAACTTTCCTGATTCCCCCAACTCTCTTCCAAACTTAGGTCAAATTGAGACAACTTTCAGGTTTTCCTTAAAAATACTATTTCCTCAAGTTGCGTTTGTAATTCTTTCTTCCAGGCTATTGTTCTGCGCATTCTTGTCGTCTCAACTGTATATAAATAAACTAATTTTTACTAAAATGTGTAAGGAAAATTGGTTTATTCGCGGGAGTAATAGCACAGGCTCTCCCGCGAGTTGTTTGCACCAAGCCCTAGGAATTGGCACTGGGGTAAAAGATTTTACGCGTAAGAGGGGTGGTTAATTTAGAAAACATCTTTTTTTCTCTTTTCTTGTCTTTTTAAGAACTTGAGTGACATATTTGTAAGCTGGGTTTGATCCTTATGTTTTGGTGATTTAAACACTTTAGGGAGGATGGGGGTGGGGCTGCTCCAACTGTCTTCTAGATAAACTGGTCTAAATAGGGTCACTAGCCTTCTCTAAAAAATCAATATCATAGACTTTTCAGATACAGAATGTATATTAAATATTAAGTACAACATCTCCAAAGAAGAAAAGTGAATCCTGAAGTGATGCCACAGCAGGTGTATCTATTTTTTTCCTCTGTGAACTTAAGAGCAATGTGACATACCATGTCCTCTCTTTTGTGACTCATTCCATGACAGACACTGTCAATATTTAGCAAGGAGCTCTGTAATTTTTCTTTTATTTCAAAATAATATTTAAAATAGAAATTTGATTTAACTTTATTTTTTTCAGCATTGCAAGTATGGACACTGAGTTGTTACCAAAAAAATAATTTCTCATTTAAATAACTAAATAGTGAGTTTTCATAATTCTCTCTGGGCTTTTTACTAACAAAATATGAACTAGGTTGACATAACTAAATTAATTGACGAAATGTGTGCGTGTAGGAACCATAGAATGAACGTTTCATAGCAAAAATTAGGAATCTTTCTGCTCTGTCGTACAACAGAGCTGGAGAAACAAGGTAAATATTGGATAGTTAAGCACAAAAGTAGCAATCTCCACAAAATAAGCAGATACTGAAATTAAAGCCATGTTTGTAAAATAAATAAACAAAAAATATGTTTTGATGTTGCTTCTCCTAATAGGTACTTCTGTTCCCAAAAATGTAGTTATTCTGGCTTAAATTAAATGGTGATTTGAGGATTTTCTCATATAAATCCAAGATACAATAACCAAAAAAAGCCAAACTCACTGCCGATGAGTCGGATCCGATTCATAGTGACCCCTCCTTGGGTTTCCAAGGTGGTATCACTACAGAATAGTCAACTTTAATAATGTTGTCTTTGCACACTTAACTAATTTTATATACATAAAATACTTGGCTTGACTTGCATTGTTTTTAAATAGCCATTCATTGGCTGTCATAGAATGAAACAAGTCTCTAGGACTTCAGACTATGTATATGCAGGAAACAAACTACAAATATTGTGACTGAAAGAGATAAGCTTATAGGATTGGATCTACAGCAATCTACTCACTAGGGAGATATTTTATTGGTGTCTGAAGAAAGGTGTTATTTGTCATTACTACAGCATCATTGTCAATAGCAATGGACACACTTTTTTTTTTTGTCCACAGATTAATAGCATCTATATCTAAATATACGATTAAATATTAGATTTTTAAAGGCTTATCATTTTGATTATAGTTATAGTTATGTCGATTGTTGAAAAATTGTTGGAAATCATTGAATGACACACACACCTTCAATTTCAGATAGGTGAAAAGTTCTTTCTACAGAAGATGTCACCATTTCATTCTTGTGTAGCTCTTACTGGATCTCATGACTATGTAGGTCCCAGATAAGTGAGAAGATTTTGGGGCTAAAGGCCATTTCCTTGTTTGTGGGGAATCTCTGGTTTTCTCGGACAGCAATAAGGGAGACTTGATTTTACCATGCAGATTCCTTCTCCAAATGTTTATAAAACAAAGGGGCAGTGCTGCACTGCATATAGTTACTCTGTTATTTTATTGCTTAGGACCCAGTTTCTTATCTTCTCTAGGACTGTATCATGGACAAGGTTCCTGAAAGCTGAATTACCCCAAAAACCAAAGAAAAAAATTCACTGCCGTCGAGTCGAATTAGACACGTAGTGACCTCTTCATGGGTTTCTGAGGCAGTATCTCCACAGAAGTAGATTGCCCAATCTTCCTTCCGAGGAGTGCCTTGTGGGTTTGAACTGCCAGCCTTCTGGTTAGCAGTCAAATGCCTTAGACACTATGACACCCAAGAATTACCGCCATGGGACTATAAATTTGAGGTCATGAAAAATTTCACTTGCTACTTTGGTAGCCACAAATGAGTTATGTTTTACTACTTCTGAATCCTCAATCTGTATATGTCCTAAAATAGTAGATTGTCCAAGGCTTGAGCTATTTATTTACAAATGTATTAAATAACTAAGAAAAACAATGGTTTTGATAACTGATGGGTAGCTAATGTATGACTTCATGTTCTCTCAATATTTTGATGGTACCACCACCCCACCTCACCATAGTAAATGCTTACAAGAGATTTAGGTAATAACTAATGGCTTGTTGCACAGAGGCTATGCATAAGCATTCCAAAAATCAATTGATTACAAAGGTTTAAGGGAAAAATGATTAAGGAGAATACCTTCCAAAAAGGACAAAGAAAAAATAAGGGCTAGTTAGCAGATCGGAGCCTTGATGGCATAGTGGTTGACCTTAGCTGTTAAACCAGAAGGTTGGTGATTCGAACCCACCAGCCCACTTTATAGGAGAAAGACGTGGTAATCTGCTTCCATAAAGATTACAGCCTTGGAAACTTTGAAGCACTTCTGCTCTGTCCGATAGGGTCACCATGAGCCATAATCAACTTGACACCAGTGGGTCTGGTTTGGTTTGAGTTAGGTTATATAGCAGACAGAGCATTGCGTTAGAATGATATATTCAGAAGGGCCTGGGCAAATCACGTCTCTCTAAATTCCTTTCAGATGGCCCCATCTAAGGATACTCTTCCATTTGAAACTCCCCTCTAAGCACAACTGCGTTGGATAGTTTTATTTCCTTAAAGGGGCAGTGCTCTCTCAAAACTTCCAATGTCCTTTTTACATGTCCCTCTCCCTATCCATGATATTTTGTATACCCAGAAATTAGCTAATTCTCTTATACTTCAAAAATATTCCAACCCTCACTTCCTGCAGTTAGCCTCATTCTTGGATACCCACCACACTTCCTTTCCCAGTTTAGACTAGAAGCATCTCAGAAGGAATCCTCTACGATACCACAGTCCAATAGAATTTTCTGCAATGATGAAAAATTCTATATCTGCACTGTCCAATAAGTAGCCACTAACTATATGTGATAGGAGCTCGGGTAGCATAGTGCCTAAGGCACTTGACTGCTCACCCGAAGGCTGGCGGTTCAAACCCACCAGCCACTCCTCGGAAGGAAGGTTGGGCAATCCTACTTCCGTAGTGATACTGCCTCGGAAACCCAAGGAGGGGTCGCTATGAGTCGGGGCCGACTCGATGGCAAACAACAACAACAACAACAACAACTATATGTGATAGACTTCCTGGTGCCACAAATGATTAAGTGCTGGGCTGCTAACGGAAAGGTGGTCCAGTCCACCCAGAGGCACCTTGGAGAAAAGGTCAGGTAATCTGCTTCTGAAAAGCCATAGGCTTGACAACACTGTGGAGCAGTTCTACTCTATACGCATGGGATCTCCATGAGTTGGAATCCACATGATGGCAACTAACAACAACATCTATATGTGACTCATCTATATGTTCCTCAGAGTGACTGAAGAAATTAACTTTTAACTAAAATTTTTAAAAACATAAATTTACATGAGAACATGCAGCTGATGGCTCATATAGGACAGAGCAGTTTTAGAACAAATTTCCTCAACCTTAAATGAGACTACCACTTACCTAGGAGCCCTGGTGGCTTAGTGCCTTTGAGGTTTTGTTAAATGAGCAGCATCAATCCAGTAAATTTTAGGTACACAATGCAACGCAGTGCCGTCAATTGGATCCAACTCATAGTGACTCCTAAAATGTTGAATGAATGACTGTTTCTTTATCAAAGGGGATAGAATGGGAGATCACTGTATGTAGATATGCAGGTAACTATTTGTAGTTAGATTAAAAGCCGAATAGTCTGTAAAAGATTAACAATATTCTGACTTCCTACAAGGTATGCACCATAGGAGAAAGGATTTTTGTTTTGTTTTGTTCTAAATCACCTCTGTAGCACACAGAAGGAGCTCTGGTGGTACAGTTGTTAAGGCATTTGGCTGCTAACCAAAAGGCCAGTGGTTTGAACCCACTAGTCTCTCAATGGTTGAAAAATGAAAGTTTTCTTCCTTAAAGATTTACAGCCTTGGAAACCCAGTGGGGGTCTCTAAGTCAGAATGGACTTGATGACAATGAGTTTCGTTTGGTTTTCTTGAAAATAGAAGGCACTCAATGTAAATGTTTGGAATGTATGAGGGAATCTGTGTACTGAACATATCAACCTACAATCTGTGTGTAAAATATTGTTTCAGTTACTCTTTTTACTTACATAATATTTCACCGAACTTTTACTTTTTGTTAATCCTGTTAACTCACTATGATGCACTATTAATGTTTTACTGGAAGAGGCACTGGTAGGTGAGCCATGAGACTCCAGACTCTTAAGGCCTGTTCTAACTCTAGAAATATCCCTTGGAGGAGAGAATTAGGTCTACACGCTTGAGATTCTTCATCCCAACAATGCTAATGCTTTATCAATTTGGTTAACAGAGTGCAAATGCAGTTATCATTGGTTTCTCTTCCTGGGGCTTCTCCTTTATCAGAGAATGCTGAAAACGATGTGCATTTGCTGTCATACGGAATCCGCCAACTTTAATAATGAGGATTAAGAGTTATAATAATTAATACTTTAAAAAAAAACCTTCACACTTGAAATTACATTCTGATGGCTCTCCCTTTTGTAGACAGCACCAAGATGCTCTACTTCCTCGTTTATACATATGATAAAAATGGTTAGGAGACTTGCACATTATCAATAGTCTAAGAGAACACATAGGCACACAAAAGGCCACAGAAATAGGCGACTCAGGACCCAGACAAGGAAACAGGAAGGAGTCACGCGTTAAACCGCATTTCCCTTCCTCCTTCCCTGTGCTAGGCTTTGATAGGAGATGGCTTATAGGGTAAGAAAGAGGCGGAGACAGAGCGCTAGTTCCCGCCCCCGCCTTTTCAGTTTCCTAAAAGGTCCGCTTTAGTGCAATATAAAGGGCTGTAGCAAGCTCTCGATTCATCACAGCTGCAGCCAGCTACTTCTATCTTCATTATGTCTGGCCGTGGTAAGGGAGGCAAAGGCCTTGGAAAAGGCGGCGCCAAACGACACCGTAAGGTGTTGCGTGATAACATCCAGGGTATTACCAAACCAGCCATCCGCCGTCTGGCTCGGCGTGGTGGCGTCAAGCGCATCTCAGGACTCATTTATGAGGAGACTCGCGGAGTGCTCAAAGTCTTTCTAGAAAATGTGATCCGTGATGCCGTGACTTACACCGAGCACGCCAAGCGCAAAACAGTCACCGCTATGGATGTGGTCTACGCGCTCAAACGCCAGGGGCGCACCCTCTACGGCTTCGGCGGCTAATCTGTCCCAACCCCGGGTTCTGTGCTTCAACTCAAAGGCCCTTTTCAGGGCCACCCACTAACTCATAAAGGGTTGTGACTTGCAATCAAAACGACAAGGTAATATTCGCTTTTTCTTAAATAGTCCCTTTTGCCTTAGGTCTTCAATTTATATTTCTAACGGGGGGTGGGGGTGGGGAATGGTAATTTACTAAGCGTGGGCGATCATTTCTTAAGATGGCGGCCTCTGAGAACAAACTCAAGGATAGACCCGAGGTAAGTGAAAAGAGAAAAGTATTATGTTAATATGAATTACAGTTGCTAGGCTTAATAAAGGGAAGTTTCCCAAGTACTTTGATTTCCCGCTTTTCTAAGTTAGTGTAGTCGCGCGGTAGTTTAAGCGTTCGGCTGCCAACTAGAAGTTTGGTGGTTAGAACGCGCCAGCATTCAGCGACAGAAACTTGGCATTCCATTTCAGTAAAGGTGATATCCTTAACCCTGTAGAGCAGGTCTGTTACTATATTATACAGGTCGCTAGGCATCGACGGGGCAACAGTGGATTTGGTTTGCTGTGTTTCCCCAACACGCATCTCCAGTGTTTCACAGCGAGGTACCTGTTCTAAAGCAAGCAAGAAATTGTGATCCAGTCTGCCTTACAGGAAAGCTGTAACTATCATTTATATTGTGGCTGGCTGTGAATGGATGGATAATGACTGGTAAATTTAAAAACGGTGAAAAACATTTTAAGTTTTTCTCTAAATCCTGCAAGTTGCTTTACCTAGCAGATACTCATCTCCACAATTTCATCACCAAATCCCTTTCCCCAACAATCATTTTTACAGTGGAATGTATTGAACAATTTATCATACCTAGGACACTCAACAGTAATCTTTCACAAACGAGCCCTGTGGCTCAGTGGTTAAAGAGCTCAGCTGGTAACCTGAAAGGTCGGCTATTCAAACCAACCAGCGCCTTCTTTGCAGAAAGTTATCTGCCGTCGAGTCGTACCGGACTCAACGACCCCTCTTTGGGATTCTGAAGTGGTGTCTCCACGGAAGTAGACTGCCCAGCCTTACTTCCGAGGAGTGGCTGGTGGGTTTGAACCGCCAGCCTTTTGGTTAGCAGTCAAGTCCCTTAGGCACTATACTACCAGAGCTTGCCTTAAAAACCCTATGGGGCAGTTCCATTCTGCCCTGTCGGTCACTGATTTGGAATCAACGTGAAGGCAACAGGTTTAATCCTTCACAAGCATTGTTCTTTCTTCCATAAATAACCTTGAACTCCTTTGTCTCCTTCAAGAGAACTTTACCCAATTCTCCCAGGCAAAATCAGTACCTCGTATTTGCCGACACCACAGAGCACAGTCCATAAGATAACATCCAACCTCAGAGTTCCCCATATGACTTCAGAGCTAGTGTACATTTACTTCAACAATTGTTTGTGATGAATAATGTTTGTTTTTCTCTCCAGAGCATACATTTCTTGAGAGCTTGAACAAACACCCATTACAGTATCCTCAGACTTAAAAAATTACATAGCACACATTTATTCAATAAGTGTGTAATAACTGAATGAATCAGTAGATTGAATCACATATCTGGGTTGTTAGGGTAATTTAATGCACTTCACTCGCCTTGACCAGTATCTCTGCTCCCCAAGAACTCTGGCATGCATAGAAAGAATTTTACTGTGGAACTTGGGAAAAAAACTGAAGCACTATCCTATTTATTTCCTTCATATATTTTGTGAAATTCCCAGATTATGGGCTCACCCTTACCCAGACTTCAGAACCTCACTTCTGAGTCTCCCTTTGAGTTGGAGTGGAGATTTGTGACCCAGGATTCACCAATCAGTCACACCTTTAAAGATTTTTCTTCAAAGTGTAAAACAGGAGAGCAGGGACTCTGCTTGGAGCTTCTACTTTGCTGGGATAGGTGTTAGAGGCTTCCACATGTCAGTAGTGGCAGTGACCTAGGTTTCCTAGTGAGTCAAGTTCTAGCTCAACAATGGCAATTGTGACACAGCAGCACCAGGTCAGTTCTGTAGCAAGGATTTGAATTTTCCTTTAATTGTCTAAATTTCTCCTGCTTACAATGTAGCCCAGCATTTAAGAGCAAAATCATTAGCTTTGGATAAATATAAATTTTAAATCCATGCTATTGGTCTGGTTAGACACACACACAATGTATGTACAAGTAAATGGTTATAAGCAGATTAAAATTTCATAGAAAAGAACACAGCCTTTGCTCAGAAAACTTCACCTTTAATCCTAAACAGCAAGGTGACCTGAAGTGACTCACATAGCTCTTTCTCTGTATGGTTCTTGTAAAAGTCTATGAAGTTTTAGCTCTTAGATTCCACAATCCTAGGTATAACATTCATTTTACTTTTAATACATTAGCATTCTTACTTATAAATTATTATTTGAAATAAGATCTATATTCATAATGCACAGGGAGGCACAAGATAAGGTTGATTGACTCAGTTTTAGGGCTGCTAAACTAGATCACTTATTTAACATGGGGCAGGCCACTTTATTGCCAAGATATGCTTTTCCCTTTGTAAATAATATATAGGGATACTTTGGCACCTTCTAAATAAATTCTTTGTGTGAATCAATTCTTTCACTGAGGTTTACAAAATAATGATTTGCTAGGATTTTTTACCATCACTCTGATCAAGGATATTTAATGCAATGCATAAATTGTGTGCAAAAAAGTCAGAATGAGAGTATGCCAAGGTTTACACTAAACCATATTACACTGTTTGTCAGAGTTGGTTAATAAAAATGGCAGGGTATAATATAGATCACACTACAGCACTTTGGGTGGGGAGGGGGGGGACTGAAGACGCAGTAGGAAAAAAAAAAAGCAAATCCTCCCTAATACCTACCTTACTCTTCATAGATTCCCTCCAGGCCTTGAAGCAGGGTAGCTGTTGAGAATTACATTGTGTGAGACCAGATAGCCAAACTTTTCTGCTTTGTGTCCTTTATTCATAGTATCCATCACGCACAGAGCTGTTCCTCAAGCTATGCAGTAATTTAGACACAACTATTGTGGAAAATTAAGAACCGCTAGTTTGCACTAAGCAATTCCCCACATAAACATTTCCCAACAATCCCCAGCCCCTACAACACCTGTAACACATAATCTATCTAGGAAAATATAAGTGTGAGCTCTTTCGAAGAAAATGAGGTGGCTCTGAAAAGAGCCTTTAGTGTAGATACAGAAAATTAGCTGAACGTACACTTAACCGCCAAAGCCATAGAGGGTGCGCCCCTGACGCTTGAGCGCGTAGACCACATCCATGGCAGTGACTGTCTTGCGCTTGGCATGCTCGGTGTAGGTTACGGCGTCCCTGATGACGTTCTCCAGAAAAACCTTAAGCACCCCGCGAGTCTCTTCGTAAATGAGACCTGAAATGCGTTTGACTCCGCCACGCCGAGCCAGGCGGCGGATGGCGGGCTTGGTAATGCCCTGGATGTTGTCACGCAACACTTTACGGTGGCGCTTGGCACCCCCTTTCCCAAGGCCTTTGCCTCCCTTGCCTCGACCAGACATAGTAATCGGGTACCGACTACAAAGGCTGAGTAAACTGACAACCCACGGCGGGCCCATATATATCAATTGAGCGGACCTTTTTGAGAACTGCACGGACAGCAAAAGCGGGAAGCTGCATTGAGTCCCCGCCCCTCTGCTTCTAGTAATCTCAAAGCATTAAGGAAAAATAGGGTAGAGAGATCTTTTGGTATTTAGAATATAGGAATCTTTACACAGAAGTGCTGTATTAGATCTTAAATTCTAAAGGATTTGGGGTTGTGGAAGGCTGTCGTCTGCAGTGGGAGCCCTTACTCCATTTTGAGGCTTGACATAAGTTTCAGACGCCATTTGGGTTCTTTCTGACCCTTAAACCAGCATTGTGGCTCTGCATAGACAAGGTCCAGGACAAACCTAGAGAGGGGCAGTTTGCCCTCGGGAAGAGTGTGGATGAAAGTAGACTACGCTCACAAAGAGCTAGGAAACTTGCCTGAGTGTGCCCTTTTCTAATTTAAATTAAGTCTGGGGTCTCGATATTGTTTGGTAGCCACAAACAATGGTTAGCATTTGACTGTTAACCAGAAGGCTGGAGGTTCAAACCCGCCAGCCACTCCTTGAAAGGAAGATTGGGCAATCTACTTTCTTGTTGATACAGCCTCGGAACCCCAAGGAGGGGTTGCTTTGAGTTGAATCTGACTGGAGGGCAGTGAGTTTGGGTTTTTTTTTGTTTGTTTGTTTTTTTGTGGCTAAAACTCAGGTTGTTTGGTCTTGAGTCACAGTTCATCCGCACCACCACCTAGCCAGGTAGTCAAGGTCCAGAACCATTCCTGTAACATTTTTTATCTTCAATTTTGTACGTATCCCAATCATGGTCTTTTCCCGGCTTCTGTAGTCCCAACCTGCAATGGTAATGAATCATCTGCCACCAGTCATGATTTTGTGATAATTCCCTCTTGTTTCAGCATATGTAATTAGTCCCATGGCCATGACTCATCAGACTCCATTCCAATTTCCCTCATTCTGGATGATTTCCTTGTTTTGTCCTTGTCCTGTCCAAGGCTTAATGAAAGTGTCTCCATTGAACCTGTTTGAATCTGGAGTCTCTTTTCCCGGGTTACAATGCCAAACAACATATACAAAAGGAAAGTACCTGATTTCTGTGTGTGTGGATGTTTAGAAATTCATTCATTCTTTCATATATATTCTTGCATCGTTTGCTATACTGGAATTCAAGAAACAAGCTCAAATCCAACAAAATAATCATTATATTGCCAAGCAACTGAGAAAAGTGGACCAAGCTAGGCTTTGGATTTGGAATCCCTGAGCAGCTGCTTTCATCGTAAAATATTGGATGTGTATGTTAAAATACGTGGATTTCAGTGGTCTTATTTGTAAAATGGATAAATATTTGTTGATAATTGTGTTATTGTAAGCAAAATGGCTGTCATCTAGTTGATTAAATTCCTATTGCCGTGTACTCTCTTTTTACAAACAAAACATAATACAAACAGAACTAAAGCACATGAAATTTCAGGACATTTCCAGACACCAGTACGTAGTGTACTTTAATTTATGGAAATTGTTGTTGTTGTTTGCCGTCGAGTCAGCCCCGACTCATAGCGACCCCTCCTTGGGTTTCCGAGGCAGTATCACTACGGAAGTAGGATTGCCCAACCTGCCTTCCGAGGAGTGGCTGGTGGGTTTGAACCGCCAGCCTTCTGGTTAGCAGTCAAGTGCTTAGCTCTGCGGAGCAGCTGGTGAATTCAGACTGCCGATCTTCTCCTTAGCAGCCAAACGCCTTAACGACTACACCGCTAGAGCTTCTTTGCTGCTTTCGTCTTCCTTATTCATTGTCCAGCTTTCACATGCATATTAACTTTCCTTAGTATTAAAAGTTAAATTCATTTACATCCAGAGCAAAGAAGAATGAGGAAAACCGAAATTCATGGAAACAATTAGTCCTAGCGACTGGTACACCATCCAATCTGCAGCCTATACAACTATGAGACCAGAAGAACTAGATGGTGCCCAGCTACCACTGTCATCCACTTGGAAGGGGATCTATGTAGGAGATCCTTGATAG